TATTAGTATTATTATATATTAGTGATCTCGTCCTGATCTATTTTCAATCAAGATCACTAAGATCAGGCGATTAGTTTATCCTATCTAGTGCGAAGATCTCTGAAACTTTCACTAACTTTCAGTATTTCTCAAAAAATCATTTTGACAGACTACTATGCAAAGCGTACGGATCGGATTAGCGAGTAAATTTCCTCTTTGGAAAGTGGTGGCACAGAGTTCCCCACGTCGTATGGACACGATAGTACAACTCGACTTACGGAAATGGTTTAGAAAAGAGTTACCAGAAAGGGGAGGAACAAGCAAAAAATTAGCTGAAGGATCGTTTGCCCACCTTGCTCCATCAGTTTGGAACTGTCTTCCCCAACCCTTGAGACATACAACATCTGAGCCTAAATTTTAAATATCTTTAAAGACATATTTTATGACATCATTTTCATGTCAGTAGATTCATGATCTGTACAATGTTATGTTAATGACTATGTATCCATTTATGTATTTTGCGAATTGCATTGTTGACATTATTTTATTATGGTTTTGTATGTGCTCATTTTGCAAGGTTGACATTATTTTATTATGGTTTTGTATGTGCTCATTTTGCAAGTGGCGTCGGTGGCCTAGTGGTTAGGCTACTGGACTCGCAGTCGTGAGATTGCGGGTTCGGGGGTTCGAGCCCCAGCTCGGTCCGACGTTGTGTCCTTGGGAAAGACACTTTACACGAACTTCCCACTTGGCTCGGTCCTTTCGGAGATGTACGTTAAACTCGGAGGTCCCGCCTCTTAAATAACCTAATAGTGGCGTCGGTGGCCTAGTGGTTAGGCTCTCAGACTCGCAACCGTAAGGTCGTGGGTTCGAATCCCGTCAAGGGGCCCGACGCCGTGTCCTTAGGAAAGACACGTTACACGAATTTTCCTCACTTCACCCAGGTGGAAATGGGTACCCGGCTATAGACAGCGAAAAATCTTGTCAGTTTTTTAGTGTTTGAGCGCTTAATCAGCTGCTTGCACTGTATGCTTCCCGGGAATGTTTCGGAGTGTCCTATGGTCTGCTGGGGTAATAATATAGTGTAAAGCGCATAGAGCCTGCTGTTGAGCGGGGATATGCGCTATACAAATGCTATCTATTATTATTATTATCGTGTTGAAAGACTAGAGGTTCTGATATCCCCTCACCAGGGCAGTGCAAGGCATAATACTGTCTAAAGTGACCAGTACTAGAAGAAGTCGTTGAGCCGGTGTCTCAAGGCCATACTGTTAATATATGAAATGGTAAAGGTTTAACGCCCCTGTCAACAGTATTAGGTTATTTTATAGGACGGGTGGGGTGAGGAGGCGCTATATCTGCCCGTGTGGAAATTTAATCTAGCTGTACTACGTGAAATATCCCAATGTGTCAGGTCATTTTATTTGATTGTATGACTACAATTTTTGTTAAGATGACTTCTAGGTGTTTACAAAAATATCAAATAAAATCGCAGCTGAATTATAATAAGATTTAAAATTTTGTAACTTTATTTGCATCTTATTGTCTGGGGCATGGTAGAAAGACTATAGAAACATTGCGCGTAGTTGGGATTCGTTTCTTCCTGTGCATTTAACTTTCATCATTTCTCACGCTTGAGTCTTAGTGTAGAATTATGTGGTTCCTGTATAATAAACAATGAAAAAGTAATAAGCTACATAGACGAAAGAATCACATTTGGATAAAAAAATAGTGAATCTCTACTTTCCCGATTAGCATTGTTCGGTGTTCAGCTGACACAGCATGGTAAAATAGATGGTAGTCTACTGGCATGACCTCTTACACCATTTGGAGATGTAAGCATTTCTCCTTTTATTTCCCTTTCCTGGAGCTACTGAAGACAGGCGTTGGATCAACCAGTTTCAACTTTAGTTGGTTTGACATCTTGGTAGAAATTAGTGGGGGGCTCACTTCTGTGGCTCATAAGGATACACTTCTAGTCCATCACCGAAGAGTCCTCGACTTTTCTACTGGGTTGTGTGGACACCCGTTCAGAAATCTTCATAATATAATCCAGAAAGTCATTGGTGTTACAGAAATAACTATGTTCTTCAACCGACAACTAACCCCAAACCCCAAACCCCGAACCTCTAACCCCTAACGAACCCCTAACCCCTAACGAACCCCTAACCCCTAGCCCCTAACGAACCCCTAA